AAGATCTTGACAGGGTCTATTACGACATGAAATACAACTTTGCAGTTTCTTTAAGCGATATGCCAAGTTTGGGGGGTCATTTCACGCCCAGAAAAAAAGAAAATCGCATTAATAATCAGCTTTTCACAGGTCAGTGACTCATCTTGCTAGATTTCTAAGTTTACTTGTGTTATATAGGAATAAAGTATCGCTGCCGACACTTGAGTTTGAACATAGATCGCCAGTGACCAAACACAGGCGATCCCATTATTGAATAAAGTAGATCACGTGACAACAGAGGAAATGCATATGTAGGAAGACGCGTGACGTCTAAATGATCGCTATTTCTATTCTATCCTCTATTATTATATGGACCGCTATTCTCTACTCTATTCACTATACTGTTTCTCTATTCAGATCACTATACGGTGGTTACTATTCGAGTGAGTATTATCGAGCAAGTACTATTAATTCTAGTGTTATTCGAAGGCGTTTGACACCAGTATTGTTCAACGGCGTTACTATAGTTGTATCTGAGATTACAAAGTCTCTACTACAACGGGCATTACGAAAGTGACAACGAGTATTTGTTGACATTACATCACAAAAGTGGCAACGTGTTTTCGTTGACATCACAGAAAGTTGAACCTTTTTTTTAATCGGTCCAAGCTACTAAAAACAATGGGATTACCGAGTGTAGAGGGATTAGGGACAAAAACATTAATGACAAGCGAAAAGAGAAGAGAGTAATAATTTATCCAACTAACACCGCGAGACCCAGGAAATTTAATCAAATAACGGTCAAAAAATTTATACCTGATGATTGTATAATGCATGAAATTTGAGTCATACTGTCTAAAAAATATGGTGTATTATGTATATTATATTATATATATATATAATATATATATATATATATATATACATATCTCTCTCTCTCTCTCTGAAATGAAAATATATATATATATATATATATATATATATATATATATATATATTTAAATAATCATCACAAAAAGGCCGTAATTCCACTAAAACACAAGGGGTTACAAGGTTTGGAAGAATTAGGATCAGAAACATTAATGATGACCAGAAACAGAAAAGAGCAATCAATTGGACAGGAGATAGCGATAGACATTGCATTTAAATTGTTGCAGTTTAAAGTTGACTGGGAAACAGGGAGTCAGTAGGGAATTCCACAAGCGAGAAGTGCGAGGGAAGAAACTCTTAGCATAGAGCTTACGGCTACACCTATCCAGCTCAACTGTAAACTGATGAGATCTCGACGCCAGTTGAGTGCTGCACTTAAATTCAAAAACTCTAGTTACCATAGCGAAGAGCAATATTTATTTTGATATATACACAGAAATGTGGCACAAGGCCGAAGTGGGGATTGGGGGAAAGGACGGTCTTCTTCTGTCTTAACTATAACTTAAAAAGCCACGAACACTGACTCAATATTTACAAACAATATTCTTTTTACACCAAAACAACACATTCTTTTTACCTTTCTTTAAAAAAAAACCATAATACCTCATTGTCTCTATGAAAATACTAACTGGAGACAATGAGGTATAGCGAAGAGCTCATCCGAACAATTACCATGAAAGTATTTATAGAAAAGACATAGAAAGGCAACCTTATGGAGGCGGGAAAATGACTGGAGCTGTGCAGCCAGGTAAGGACCAGTAATATTGCAGATTCTTCTTTGGGTCTTATCAAGGAGCTCAAGGTAAATAGCAGGGTTAGCGGATCATATGTGGCAGCAATATTCTAAGAATGGACGTGTATGTAGCTTGGGAAATATTGTATTACATGGTATGTAGGACGCGTATGGAAATTAGACACATTCCTATGTCAACAAAAATATCCACGAGTGTCAAGAAAAATAACTGATGACATTTTTTTCTACTAAATGTTCACCTAATGCAAGCCCCATAAAATGAACAATTTTGGCATCAGACTGAAGAGGAAGTTATTCTGATTAGGTATCAATCTACCTCTTCTCCCACATCTATGGGTTAATTAGTAAGACTTGTATCACTAAGCAATTATTATCTAAAAAGAATCGTACAATGTAAAAGTTTTTTTTGGCTGTAAATAACATGAAAAGGGTTGATAAACCGTAAAAAAGACAATCAATGCAAGCGTCATCTTTTGTCGTCTTAATTCCTATTTCCTTTGTCTCTCTCCTTAATGACGTTTTTTCGTATATTCTTTCACACTCAGTAACCCCCCTTGCAACTTAGCGGCTTTATTCCCTTCCTTGGGATAAAATAATAATAATAAATAAAACGTACATGCTATTTCACATATTTACCAGGCAGTAAAATACATCTTTTTTCAAGTTTCTTTAACACTTAAAAAAAGAATTTTGTTCATTTAAATAATTATCTGCTTCTTTTGCTTCTCTTACTGACATCGCTGAATCATCCAAAAATTCCCTCTCTTTCAAACTCCTTTTGAGGTGTGGCGACAGGAAATAGACGAAGCAAGATCTGGTGCGTAAAGCGGAAGCACTCAAACCAACAAATTCTTCAAAACATCCATCGTTTTGCTAACCCTGTGATCAGGTGTTTTGTCCTGCAAAATGCGAATAAATTTCCACAGTTTCCTTCTCCATTTTTCTTTCAAAGACTCCTTTAATTTAGCGTAGCATTCTGCATTAATTCTTTGGCCCTTCTGAGGATATTCAGTCATGCATTTGTGAAACACCAAAGCCGTGACCATGACATTTCCTGCTGGCTTTTTTGTCTTGAATTTGTTACTTTTATTTATTAAGCGAAATCGGTTCTTTGGGAGATTTTCCCATGCCATAAAATGGCATAAGTAAAATTGTTTCAATTAAAGCAATTAATGTAACGTCATCCGGAGGAAGCCGTCCAGCGACGGGGTCAATAAAAAAACTGAATATAGGTTTCATTAACACCCTCAAGGCCCAAACAGCAATGGACCAAACAGCATCAATATGTACGATTGCTATGAACTAAAATTGAACAGAAAGACCATTGGAACAGTCATGAGACCTGAGACCCTGGGCGTGTTCGGCAGAGGATGGGCGTATTCAATAAAAGGTCGAAAACTGCTTTTTTTTTCACTGCAAATTATTCCTTATATCATATCCACGAATTTTATAAAAAAATTAGAGCCGATTACACAGAATTTTAAGTTCAGTTTAGGTTTGGAGTAATGGATAGTGGCTCGGATTGAGGAATCGGAGAACAGAGTTCGAATTCCAGTCGAATCCATAACATTCACTTACGTGCTAATACCCTTGGGAAAGGTATGAATCATCTTCTCCTCTCCTCACCTCAAGCTATGGGTAAATAGCAGGACAGACCAGGTTCTATAGCAACTGGTCTACAGCGGAAAAAATGACAACCTACCGCAGTCAAAAAAATCTGCCTCGTCAGTCATGTATAGAAAGATACATGATCGCCTAAGCGTGTATCACGCATGGCACATAACTGACTGACTTTCCAGTCGAATCCATTATATTCACTTACGTGCTAATACACTTGAGAAAGGTATGAATTCTCTCCTTTTCTTAAAGAAATGGAACTGTATTCCAAAATATAACTTCATCTGTAACACATATCACTGCCTCTAGTAATTATGTCCACACAAATATGTATATCCAAAAAAGCAGAGAATCATCTACCATGTATTCAGTTGTGAAAGCAGAATAACATATACCATATTGTTATTACTTCAAGGCTCACAAGAAAATTTAATTTCGGCATTAAATGACCCATAAGGAGTTGATGTACCGATAAGCAAACAGATCAAATCAAATCATTACTGCACAAATTTTTCTTAAGTGTTTTGATCTTTTTGCCTAATCTAACGGCTGGCTAATGGTAATCTGAGGGCTTGCGGATTTTACATTTTAGGCAATCCCCACCTCTAAATAACTGGTAGTCATACAATAAAGGATTAAATAATTTCAGTCAAGGAGCAAGTGAGCAACAAGGAAGTCTTAAACAAAATGGCAACAGAAAGAACACTTCTACTCAGAATCAGGAAAAGATAGCTGAAATTCCTTGGACACATAATGAGGAAGGAGGGCTTGGAAAACTTAACCCTCACAGGGCATATTGAGGGCTAAAGAGAAAATAGAGCACACAGAACTACTTACTTGACGAACTTGTGTAAATGGTTGATGGAACGAGGGGCGAAGACATAGAAATAGGAGCCACATGAGATAGAAAGTTGTGGAGAGCCATGATCAACTAGGTCATGAAGAGACGCAGCACGAAGAAGAAGAAATCCCAGTAAGAATTCCACGATAAATACAGTGGGCGTGTGCACTAGCAAAGGGAGAAAACTGCTAAGAGCCGCATAAGATAGAAAGATGTGGAGAGCCATGATCGCTTAGGGCCTGAAGAGACGCAGTACAAAGAAGAAATCTCAGGAATAGTTCCACAATAAATACAATAGGCGAGGACCTTAGTAAAGGGAGAAAAACTGCTAGGAGCCACATAAGATAGAAAGATGTGGAGAGCCATGATCGCTTAGGGCATGAAGAGCCGCAGTACAAAGAAGAAATCCCAGGAATAGTTCCACAATAAATACAATAGGCGAGGACCTTAGTAAAGGGAGAAAAACTGGTAAGAGCCACATAAGAAAGAAAGATGTAGAGAGCCATGATCGCTTAGGGAATGAAGCGACGCAGTACAAAGAAGTAGGAGCCCAAGAAATGATTCCGTGATAAATACGGTGTTAACTCCTATTTGCATCTCTTTCACACTTACCGTAATACGTCACCCACGAACGTCACTCGCCTTTAGCGTCTATTTCTCCCAGTCAGGAGGGCGAAAACTTCCTGGTATTTTTGACCAATCCATTTTATAGACATTTCTTAAGAACTCGGTTAGACTCGCATGAGTTTCAAATGTAACAACACATTAAAAACCTAGTTTCAAACCTTCTTTCTTTCTTTTTTTTTAATGTAATTTCGTGATAATGATGACGCCTTCTTCAAGGAGTTGATTCTTTTGTATCAAATTCTTAGAAAAGTTATGGCTTTACGTGATAGTTCTTTCTTACGCACATATCTTCGTGTATGGATGCGTGGTGAGTTGGATTGCAGTAGAAATGGAGTTGCTCTAATTTCCAACGAGTGCACACAGAGACTATTTAGTGGCCGACAATTATCCTTTGTACGTAAAGACAGAGCTGCATTCATCAGTCTATCTAATTCTGTTCACATCTATCTATCTATCTATCTATCTATCTATCTATCTATCTATCTATCTCAACCTATTCATTATCTATCTATCTATCTATCTATCTCAACCTATTCATTATCTATCTATCTATCTATCTATCTATCTATCTATCTATCTATCTATCTATCTATCTATCTCAACCTATTCCCTATCTATCTATCTATCTATCTATCTATCTATCTATCTATCTATCTATCTATCTACGAATTTCAAATTTAAACCTTCCATATCTAAGCTTTTTATATGTATGACCGTCTGTTCATCTATCTATCTATATTCTATCTATCTATCTATCTATCTATCTATCTATCTATGTTTTTCAAATTTAAGCCTTTCAAATGTAAGCTATTTATATCTATCTATCTATCTATCTATCTATCTATCTATCTATCTGCGACTTTCAAATTTAAACGTCCCAAAGCTAAGCTTTTATATGTATGACTGTCTGTTCATATCTATCTATCTATCTATCTATCTCAACCTATTCCCTATCTATCTATCTATCTATCTATCTATCTATCTATCTATCTATCTATCTATCTCAACCTATTCATTATCTATCTATCTATCTATCTATCTATCTATCTATCTACGAATTTCAAATTTAAACCTTCCATATCTAAGCTTTTTATATGTATGACCGTCTGTTCATCTATCTATCTATCTATCTATCTATCTATCTATCTATCTATCTATCTATGTTTTTCAAATTTAAGCCTTTCAAATGTAAGCTATTTATATCTATCTATCTATCTATCTATCTATCTATCTATCTATCTATCTGCGACTTTCAAATTTAAACGTCCCAAAGCTAAGCTTTTATATGTATGACCGTCTGTTCATCTATCTATCTATCTATCTATCTATCTATCTATCTATCTATCTATCTATCTATCTATCTATCTATCTTTCAAATATAAAAATGTATGCATGGCTGTCTATTCGTATTTCCACACACCCCTCTCTCTCTCTATCGTCTGAAAACGCAAACAAATTAAACAGTTGTTGGTCAAAGGCAATAATGGCGTGTCATCTTTTTTTTTTTTTTTAAATTGATGCCAGATGAAGAAAAGACGACGTTGTTTGCTGAGGCTGCAGAAGACGTCGTTTTAATTTATTTGTTGTTGTCGTTATTGAAGAAGAAGAAGAAGAAGAAGAAGAAGAAGAAGAAGAAGAAGAAGAAGAAGAAGAAGAAGAAGAAAATAATTTTCTAGCGCCATATTGCCATTCTCAGCTGCCTGTGGAATTTAAAATGTAAGAATTCTAAGAATGTTAAATTCTTCGTTCGAGATTCGATTTCTGTTGTCTCGGTCCAGCTGGGAGGAAACAGTTGAATTTGGGCGGTGAACATTTCAGCGGAGGCGTAAACAACACGGTACAATTTCCACCAGCCAATCAAAGTGCCAATGGCAAATATTCAGCGCGGCAGAAATTCCTTCTTCAATGTGCGTGTAGACAGAACTATTTTCCATGTAAGCAACAGCTTGTTCTTCTATTTCGCTTTCGTTGTGTTCCCCTTGATCTGATTTTGACGTCCATTTTGTTTTTTGAACGAAAGTATGTCACCGGGCTGAAGAGGACAGGCTAAAACAGCTGCGCAGAAATGGTAACTTTTTCTGATGAATAATAATAAGGATAATAATGAAAAGAAAACAAAAGAAAGAAAACAATAAGAAAATGATGAAGGATGGTGGTTGGGGGGCATAAGAAACGAAAAAGGAAAGAAAGAAAAGAAAAGAAAAAAGAATAAGAAAATGATGAAAAATTGGGGCGTATAGAAGAAAATGAAAAGAAAAAGAAAAGCAAAGAAAAACAATAAGAAAAATATGAAAGATGGCGTGGGGGGGGAACAAAGAAAAGAAAAAAGAAAACAATAAGAAAATGATGGAACATGGGGGCGTAAGAAAAGAAAAGAAACCGGTGAAAGACCGGGGCGTAAAGAAAAAAAAAAAAGAAAAAAGAAAAAGAAACCGGTGAAAGATGGGGGCGTAAGAAAAAAAAGAAAAGAAAAGCAATAAGAATCTGATGAAAGGGGGGGCGTAAGAAAATAAAAAGAAAAGAAAAAAACAAAAAAAGAAACCGGTGAAAGACGGGGGGGGGGGCGTAAGAAAAGAAAAAGAAAAGCAAAGCAATAAGAATCTGATGAAAGAGGGGGGCATAAGAAAAGAAAAGAAAAGCAAAAAGAAAAAAAACCGGTGAAAGACGGGGTCGGGGTGCGTAAGAAAAGAAAAGGAAAAGAAAAAAGAAAAGAAACCGGTGAAAGATGGAGGGGCGTAAGAAAAGAAAAAAAACAAAAGAAAAACAATAAGAAACTGATGAAAGATGTGGGGGGGGGCGTTAGAAAAAAAAAGTAAAATAAAAAAGAAAAAGAAAAATAATAAGAATCTGATGAATGATGGGGGGGGCATAAGAAAAAAAAGAAAAGAAAAACAAAAATTAACGATTCAAGGATAAAAGCAGGGAAAGACAAGATAAAAATGACCAAAAAAGAAAGAAAGAAAAACAATAAAGAAGTGGTGAACGATGGGAGAGACAGAAAAAGAGATAATGAAAAGAAATGGGAATGAATAAGGAAAGAAAAAAAATAATGAGGAAAGAAATAAAAGACAGAAGAAGATAAAAAGAAAAAGAATAAAAAGAGATTGATGAAAGATGGGAGAGACGGAAGAAGAGAAAAAGAAAAGAAATAGAAAAGAAAAAAAGAAAAAAGGAAAAGAAAAAAAACAAGACAATGATGAAAGACGAAAGAAAAGAAAAAGAAAAGAAAAAGAAAAAAAAACAATGAGGGTTTGATGAAAAATGGCGGAGATGCAAGAAGTGAAAAAGAAAAAGAAAAGAAAACGAATAAGTAAAGAAGGAAGGGGAAAAAATGATGTAAGATTGAAGAGATGGAAGAAGAGAAAAAGAAAAAGAAAAAAAAAAGTATCCGCTAGAAATTGGGAGCCGCCCTATTAAAAAAAGATTCTCGTAAGGTCACGTTCGCGCAATATAGAAGAAATCGTACTAATCTCTTAAGACATTACCCATAAGCTGAAGTCTCATAAGTCGCCATACATTATTGTTAGGTGGAGGGTGTCAGCTAGAGATTAAGAATTAAACATGATTATTTAATAAACTTCCGTCAATTTGTCTCTTGGCAAAAATAACGAGGGACTTATGATGATCAATCTATTTTTTTTTTTTTTGCTGGGTCAGTCATTCACGTGTGATTGTCTTTGTGCCTATAAAAATATATCTTTCTTTCTTCTTGTTTTTTTACATGTTTGATACTTTCACCACAAATTTTACATTTATTGTGTGCCATATTCTTAAAGGCCATATTGACTGGGCGTTTACCCTCATAAAATAGTTTTTTTTACTCCTGATCAAAATAAACACAATGACATTTTATACTCCAATCAAATGGCTAAGCTAACAAGGCTCTGCAAGTGAAGCGTTCAAACACACACACACACACACACACACACACACACACACACATATATATATATATATATATATATATATATATATATATATATAGATGTAGTTGTTTTGCACTTTAAATAAGAGAAAATTATTATACGTAGTTAAAAAAGTGAGGCAGGATTTTTTCTTAGGAATTTTACTATGGCAAAAACAAAAAAAAATATGATTAAATTTTGTCTTGTCCAAATATTTTCCTTTATCCTTGATTATTGCAGTACAAATGCAAATTTTTGGCATTTGATGCCAAATTTTCTCAAAGTATAAGTTTGATAATTGATTTCATTTTTTTTTTCAAGGACTCTAAGAGCTTTTTTTTTACATTTTTTTCATTGTTCCAAATTCATCCCATACTAATTCTTGGGGTTGGTTCAAACTTTTTGAACTGTAGAGTATATATATATATATATATATATATATATATATATATATATATATATATATATATATATATATATATATATATATATATATAAAAAGAAAATATAGTTTTAAGGTGTGCTATATTTATGGGATAAAGTGCTCAGTATCAGAGATAGAACGTATGTAAATATAAAAGTGAACATTGAAGTTAACGTTCAGAGCCTCTGAGTGTTGACCTCAATGTACACTTATTTATATATATATATATATATATATTTCAAGACATTTTTTATGTTTATAGGTTCTTTTCATCGATACAAATATTTAAGTAAATGCTTTGTTTATAATAAACAGTATTAACGACATTTACCGGCCTGAATGTCCGAGAAATTTTTATAGAAAAATATGTGCCTCCGACAGGAATCGAACCTGTATCCTATACGGAACCGACATATAGCCTGACGTACCTTAACCGTTTCGGCTAAAGAGGAGCGTTCGATTAGCAAGGTCGATTTTACTGTCTTTAAACTACAATCTTCCATGATTCTCTCACGTACATTCATATCTGCTCGATGCGTATTCAAATGTAAACAAATGACGTCACACATTATGAAATGGACAAAGTCCGACAATTATTTTGAGACACTTTTTTTTTTATGTTTATACGTTCTTTTTATAGATAGAAATATTTAAATAAATACTTTGTTTATAATAATTCAGGCCGGCAAATGTCGTTAATACTGTTTATTATAAATAAAGCATTTACTTAAATATTTGTATCTATGAAAAGAACGTATAAACATAAAAATATATCTTAAAAAAATAATTGTCAAACTTTGTCCATTTCATATATATATATGTATATATTAAAGACATTTTATGTTTAACGTTGTTATTTCATAAATAGAAGGATTTAAAAATGCTCTGTTTATGATAAATTTCAATGAACGAATATTTTCTATCAAATGAATCTTGGACATTCAGGCCGGTAAATGTTATTCATTACTGTTTATCATAAACAGAGCATTTCCTTAAATACTTATATTTATAAATAACTAAAACGTTAAACATAAAATGTCTTTTAATAAATAAATTGTCGGACCTTGTCCATTTCTTAACATATGACGTCATTTGTTTACATTCGATACGCCAGAGCAGTTATGAATGTACGAGATTCATGGAAGATTGTAGTTTATAAACAGTAAATTCGACCTTGTCTACCATAAGGTTCATTGTGGCCCAGACTATTAAGGCACGTCAGCGTAAATGACGGTTCCGTATAGGATGCAGGTTCGAATCCTGTCAATGAACGAATATTTTCTATGAAAATTTCTCGGGCATTCAGGCCGGTAAATGTTATTTAATACTGTTTATCATAAACAGAGCATTTGCTTAAATACTTGTATCTATGAAATAACAACGTTAAACATAAAATGTCTTTAATAAATAAATTGTCGGACCTTGTCCATTTCTTAATATATATATATATATATATATATATATAGGTACCTTCACTAATTCGCTGAAAAAATAGCATACAATGTTACTCATAAAATATTTATATTATTATTAAGTGGGAAGTCCAAAATATTGTTTTTATTATTTTATTAATTTTTTTTAATACTTTCGAGCACGTTCTAAATTTTGGTTAAAAATCTTGTTTTTCTTGCGTCAGTGGGTGTTGCTAAAAGGTTAGTATAGGAAAATTTAGCGTCTTTTTTTGGTGGTAAAAACACACTGATTTGGAAATTCTTGCAAAAATCAAATAAATGTCGAATTTTAATTAAATTTTCAGGACTAATTCACTGTATCTGATGTAGCGTATCAGTAGATTTTTTTTTTCAGTATGCAAGGGACAGGTCAGCTTTCCAATCCAGCTGCGGCGTTCGGAGGGAGTGGGGAAGCCCCTCCCAATTTTCTTTAGATGTGTCCTATTTTGGGTCCATTTTGAGACTATCTGTACTAAACATGGGGACATGATACATTCTAAGGGAAGTCATCATTTACGTAACACGTCTTCTCAGTGTACCATATTTGTGCCATATCATTATATAATAACAATTTGAGAAAAATTATTTTTTTTTTTTCATAGTATTATTCATTTATACTAGAAAAAATATAATGAATATAATAAAAAGTTACATAATTTTATTAATATATATTTATTTTTAAATGAAATATATATACATATATATATATATATATATCCATAAAATGGCCTTTTGGTAGTCATAGATGTATAAAATAAAATACAGTCGCTTAAAAACTACATCATGGTGTTGTAATATGTATTTCAGTTTACTTTTTGCTGTTCATCACGTTACATTTGTTAGCTGTATAGCAATTAACTTTTAATCTGAGTGAGTAATTGAAAAATGTAACCATAATAAATATGAAACTAAAAATGAAAAATGTTAAAAAAAAAACAAAAAAAACAAGACCAAGATATCCTGGTAGTCTAGCATGAAATGTGACTATTGTTTTTTTTTGTGTGTGTGTGTGTGTGTGTGTGTTCTTTTTGTTTTTGTTGTGGTCTTCTTAGGACCAGAAATAAAGACACAAAGAGAGGAACTGAGTTAAACAAATATATTACAGAAACAGTAATACAAACATATTACGAGAGTGTTACAGCAAGAATGTTCGGTCCGACTGCTGGAATTTGATAAACCTCTCTAAAACATTTTTACCAAATCCTATTTATAGCTGGAAGAGTCCATGCGTGCGTGCGTAAATTACCATAACAGTTTTGTTTTCTTTTTATGTGTGTTATTTGTTTTGTCCTATTTCAGTGTTGTTTTGGGAGTATCTTCACTAAATAAAGATATGATGCCTTATCATACTTATTATAAAACCCAGGTTGTGTGTGTGTGTGTGTGTGTGTGTGTCTCTGTTCGTTTTTATATTGATCGGATGTCCACATTTTTCAAACCGATTTCAACAAAATTTCACAGGACTACGTAAAACTACCTCGCGGTGGTTCTGAGTTTATCAAAATGGAAAAACACAATTGTAATTTTGCACGAAATCTATTTGAAAACACGATAAAGAGCCATTAATGAAAGGGGACAACTCATATAGGTTGTAAAATTTATAATAAATAAAAAATTTTATTGTTTGTAAAATGTGTGTGTGTGTGTGTGTGTGTGTGTGTGTGTGTGTGTGTTCGTTTATATATGGGATCGGATTTCCTACATTTTTCAATCAATTTCAAAAAAACTTCACTTTTTTTTTTGGTAGGTAGTGTTTTAATTGTTTTGCACACTTTTTTTTTATTTTTACATTCAGAATGCTTTAAAAATTCCATTTACAAGACAATTGTTTATAATAAAATTCTATTTAATCGGTAGACTCATAACGATTGAAAACAATATTTTTTGTTTGAGTTTGGGTTTGACCAATTTAAAAAAAAAAAAAAAAAAAAACATAATTAAGACATGCGTGTCCGTCAACCTTAAACAATAATCTTTGTCAATTTTATTTTTCAGTCTTTATGATGGTGGATACTTGATCTATCTCTTACTGTTACATCCCCGGGCAACGCCGGGCTCTACTGTTAGTACATTCTAATGACTGTCATCATTTCCGTAACATGTCTTCCCAGTGTGCTAGAGATTGGTACCATATTTGTGCCATATCATTGTATAAAAACGATCTGAGAAAATATTATTTGAACCTTCATAGTATTATTCATTTATACTAGAAAAATATAATGAATATAATAAAAGTGGCCTTTTTCATTTTCTTAGACAGGATTTATTTATAACAAATAAAGTTGAAAAGTATATTTTTTACATTTTATAATTTTAAAACTATATATTCAAAAAAAAAAAAAAACTGAACATGTAGAAGAACAATTTTCTTACAATATAAAACGTAATGCAAGCAAAAGAAAACATCTATCCTACCTAAAGTGTTGGGCATCTCGAGGTGGTGTAATGGTTACCAAATTTGTCTCGCTAGAACAATTACGACTGAGCAGTGAGTCCGATCCTCACTTGGTGCCCCATACTTTGGACCTTCCCATGCACATCTGAGTTATACGCTTGGAAAATCTTATAAAATATATTTTTTCTATTTTTTAGTTCTGCAAATCTTTTCATA